TGGCAACACTTTTGTCTGCGGAACTGAGTTCTCGCCCCACATATTGTCCGCCAATTCATATGTGTCTCCGAGAACTCCCTTCGAGACAATAATCTTGTGCTGACTTTTGCTGAGAATAGACACCAATTTCTTCATTAGATCCACATTTGCTGAACCCATAGAACCCAATGAGAGGTAAATTAATTTATTTTTCTCTATATCTCTGTCACGAAATTTATCGGGAATTTTAAACTCTTGTTTCTCTCCTCTTCTCATAAATGTGTCGACTCTTAACCACTTCTGAGGTATGGGTCGGATGTCTGTGTAATCGAGTTCTTCAGGATATCCATAAATATTAAGATATGGCGATATCGGGAAGGATGTGTTGTCGGTGTTAATGGGATATCCTTCCTCTTTCATCCATTCATTATATATAATGTTTCGTCGTTTGTGTGCGTCTGTCATAAATGCCCTGTATTTGTCCCAATCTTTTGGGTCATTTGAAGGGTAGCCTGAATTTGCAATAAAATAAAATAACATTTAAATTATATAAATAAAAACCAATTTACCTGAAGTATTGGGTGGAGTCAACTCATCATCTAGGCAAAATAATGGATTAGCGCTACACAAGAAAATCCAGGGTTTGTTTGAGTGGATTAATGTTGGAGAGGCGGCGAAGTCGTCGATGATATACACATCGGGATTATGTTTGTCTACAATTGCTTTAAGCTGTGGTTCATTGGCTCTCAGTTTGTTCATCAAAACCTCAAAGATGGGCCAATTCAGCAGAAGTTGTATCGATTCATAAGACGTTTTGTCCGACAAGAGTCCCGTCTCAAGTAAACCTATGGCCATATTTTCTCCCGGTTTACGACTTTTGGTTTCGTTTGAAGTAAAAATCTCTTCAATGAAACCAAACGGCGATAATTTTCCTGCAAATGATTGGTCGACAGCAAAGACCACTTTGTGGCCCCGACTCAGCAGTACTTCACCCAAACCTATACATGGATTCACGTGTCCCACGCTTTCCACGGGCGCAAACAATATCGTGAACTTTTGTACCATTTTTGCAATTTATAAATATATAACAATATATATTGTTATTATTAAATCTTTATAAAAACGTAAAATGTTTAACTGATTAAGAAAATATTAGTTTTATCATTTTATGTATCTGATATTTATATTAAAATAAATTGTAACTTTTAGGAAATGATATTCTATAAAAACTTTTCACAGCTAAAATTAGTGTTTATTATCACTATTAATAATCATGTTTGTAAAAATCGATTATGCTTATTTGTTTGTTGCATAATTTACACCTTATATTTAGTGCATTTCAAGAATAAGTTTTAATTCAGCAATAATAATATTATATGCTTAATGCACTAACGATAGTTGAACTAAATTAAATTTTCCAATAATCTGATTAATATTATCATCACAAATTATAAATACATTATTTATTGTGTATGTATTTATTAGCATTAATACTATTTTATCATAATATGTTATAGTAAACTATATTATAGTTTAAATTATAAAATAAATCTAAAAGTTTGATTCTTATCGTTATTTGCTAAAGGTTCGTTTTATCGTATAATAGTAAATTCATATGCATGTGCTCATAAGCGTTATCTAAACTTTTGTTGATAAAAAATTCAATGCTCTAAATGTTAAGTTTTAACCTAGTGCATTTAGGGCACTGTGAACGTACCAGAATAAAAATATTATTTGTTCAATCAAGTAGTATTTAAGATCATAATTTTTCGTATTTGTATTTACTTTACATACATTTTATTTTATTTAAACTGAACGAATAAAAGCAACAAATGGTCAGAAAGTTAACGATATTGTTCGCTCCCGTGGAAGGCGTGGGACACGTGAATGCGTGCATAGGTTTGGCTGAAGTACTGCTGAGTCGGGGCCACAAAATTGTGTTCGCTATCGACCAGTCATTTGCGGGTCGATTAGCGCCGTATGGTTTCATCGAAGAGGTGTTTCCATCCCATCAAAAAGACCAAATGCCGGGCGAAATGTTTGCGAACCATTTGCTCGATTCGGGCCTTTTGTCAAACGTATCGTCATTTGAATCGCTGAAGATATGGCGAGACATACCTGTAATGGACGTCGTGTTTGCCAAAAAGCGGGCCAATGAGCCGACATTAAAGACAATTGTGGCCAAACATAGTCCAGACCTGTTTGTGATCGACGACTTTAACCCCTCGCCAGCAGTTCTTCACTCAAACAAACCCTGGGTTTGTGTTATTAGCGCCAATTTGTTGTTCACGTCAACTGACAACCGGCTACCGCCCGGTTGGTCCGGTCAGTTCGTCTATTGCTCTGTATATTTTTTACATTCATATAATTAAATTGTTTTGTGTTTTAGGTTTTCCGGCAAATAGTGACACAAATAAATGGAAAGAGTTTAGGGAAGAGTTTGACAAGACTTTTGTGAAACAAAGTCTGAAATATAATGAATGGCTGGAAGAGGAAGGGTTGCCAACAGTTAATGTAAATAAAATTCACATTACATCGCCGTATCTTAATATCTATGGATATCCCGAAGAATTGGATTACACAGACATCCGACCCATACCTGAGAAGTGGTTAAGAGTCGACACATTTATGAGAAGAGGAGAGAAACAAGAGTTTAAAATTCCCGATAAATTTATTGACAGAGATATAGAGAAAAGTAAATTAATTTATCTCTCAATGGGTTCTATGGGTTCAATAAATGTGGATCTAATGAAGAGATTGGTGTCTATTCTTAGCAAAAGTCAACACAAATTCATTGTCTCGAAAGGACTTTTCGGAGACACATATGAATTGGCGGACAATATGTGGGGCGAGAACTCAGTTCCGCAGACAAAAGTGTTGCCATTAGTAGATGTGGTCATAACTCACGGCGGGAACAACTCTGTGACCGAAACATTCAGTTGTGGTAAACCAATGATAATAATGNGCTTAAGGCGATTATAGCCAAACATAATCCCGATGTGTATATTATCGACGATTTTATCGGTTCGCCGGCACTAATCCACTCAACCAAACCCTGGGTTTTCCTGTTTAGCGGAAATCCATTGTTTGTCTTACGCGACGACAGGACTCCTCCTGAATGCTCGGGTCAGTTGTTTTGTAACATTTATATTAAATACTTATTTAATAATTCAATATAAATACATATGAATTCAGGCTATCCTTCAAACGGTGATCGACAGGAATGGCAGGAATTCAGGGAATTATCAAACAATATGTTTAAAAAACAAAGCATTAAATATAATGAATGGATGAAAGAGGAAGGCTTTCCCGTAAACAATGAGAACAATACACTTCCAAATTCCCCGTTTCTTAATATGTATGGCTTTCCCGAAGAACTCGATTACACAGATCTCAGACCACTTCCCGAGAAGTGGTTAAGAGTCGACACATTTATGAGAAAAGGCGAAAAACAAGAGTTTCAAATTCCCGATAAATTCCGTGACAGAGATATCGAGAAAAGTAAATTAATTTATCTCTCATTGGGTTCTATGGGTTCAGCAAATGTGGATCTAATGAAGAGATTGGTGTCTATTCTCAGCAAAAGTCAGCACAAAATTATTGTTTCGAAAGGACTTTTCGGAGACACATATGAATTGGCGGACAATATGTGGGGCGAGAACTCAGTTCCGCAGACAAAAGTGTTGCCATTAGTAGATGTGGTCATAACTCACGGCGGGAACAACTCTGTGACCGAAACATTCAGTTGTGGTAAACCAATGATAATAATGCCATTATGTGGTGATCAATACGATAACGCACAGAGAGTTCATGAAAAGGGATTTGGGATTAGACTTAATCCTCACAACTGTTCAGAACAGGAATTATTGGATTCAATCGATAAGCTATTGAATGACAAGGAATTGAAACATAAATTATCCGTCGCTTTAAAACGTATCCAAAACTCCAATTGCAATCAAAAGGCGGCAGAAATTGTCGAAAATCTTATTTAATAAATAAGTAATAAATTAATAATGAATAAACATTTATATTTACATAATTATAATACAATTAGTGACTGTAAGACTTAAATTTTATGAAACTTGTTACATTTATATAAACCATTAATTAGATTTATATGTCATGAATTATAAATGTAAAATGTAAAATAATTGCATACTTTTAATATTGAGTTAGAGTCACCAGATTCTATATTTCTAGCAGAAACAATCCCATAGATTAACATTATTGTCATGCTTTGAAACAAACCTGACTTTTATTTTACATTTAGTTTAATGTTTAGAATTGAAACCCATTTATATGATTGTCGCCCAAAAGTTTAGATCAAAGAGAAGTTTAGTTTTAGTGTCCAAACAGAGGGATAGAACCCCAACCCCTCATAAAAGGGTCAGCGAAGGGACAGCGAATGCATAGTGAAGTCATAGTGAGAGCTAAACACGAGTTTAGATAAAGTTTGAAAGCACCGGACATTCGTCGCCACTCTCTCCACACCACTGATTGAATACACATTCAATAGTTTTAAAACTCATCTCAACTTTAAAACTGATTTTGAATAAAACTCTTATTTTAAGCCAAAAGTGCCAAGACTTTATGTGTGAATGAATGTGTGATTGTGTGCCAGCATTTGAATTATGTTTTGATTAAAAGTAATATTAGTTAAATTAGTGAATACCCAAAAGCCTTACCACTCGGGCTTGACATTATTATGTGTCACCTAGGTGACATTTATGGGTTCTCATAATATAGAGTATATTTATATGCATTAATTGTCGAAACCTTTTGAAATAGCAATTTGCTTTATTAATTTCATAGGATTTGCACTAAACAAGTGTTAAATATGAACCTACGGTACATTTCTATGTCAATGACAATGTCCTTCAAAATACAACTATATATAAGCGATAATTTATACACATTTATACAATTTGTGCGATAACTAAACTGTAGATTATTTAATCCATAGTAAACATACAATAAATAAAACAAATACCTATTGATATACTCATAAAAATCACCATAATTAAAACAACAACTTTATTGATTTTTGTGCCAATACATACACCACAATGAGTCCCAAGAAATTAACCATATTGTTCGCACCGGTCGAGGGTATGGGTCGTGTGAACGCTTGCGTAGGTCTGGCCGAAAGACTCCGAGAGCGCGGACACCGTATAGTGTTTGCCGTCGACGCCTCCTATAGGGGGAAGTTAGTGGGCTTTGGGTTCGAGGAGGAGATAATCGAGTTTTCGGCCACCAAAAAGTCTTCGGACGCCGAATTAGATCCACAGGAGAGCCAATCGCTGATCGAATCGAGAGCTCAAGTATTGCTTCGGTCGGGAATACTGTCGGCAAAGTCTTCGCGAGAAAAGTTAGAGATTCTGTCCGGCGATGGATTCCTCACCAGAATTGTCGATAAAGTGATTGCAAACGAACCCATACTTAAGAACATCATCGCCAGAGTGCGGCCCGACCTCTATATACTCGACCATTTGGTGGGTCCGCCGTCAATCATCTTCTCGGACAAGCCCTGGGTTTTTATACTCAGCGCTAATCCCTTATCTGGTATTCACGACACCAGAACTCCGCCTAATTTTTCCGGTATTTAAACACTTCCGCTGTTAAAAAATTTGTAAATAAATCATTTAAAACTATAATTAAATGTAAACTAATATTATCTATCAATAAATAGGTTACGCGGCGTCTGGCGACCAGTCCTTGTGGCCAGAGTTCAGGGAAAGGGCTGATAATGCGTTCGCTCATCACAACCAATACTATAACCGATGGCTAAAAGCAAATGGCTATCCGACCATCGATAACAACCTCTGTATACCAGAGTCACCGCATCTAAACCTCTATGGCTTTCCTGAAGAACTCGATTACACAGACATTCGGCCGAATCCGAAGAACTGGTACCGAATGGACTCATTCATGCGATCGGATGACCACCAGGAGCTCAAACTTCCCGATAGTTTTCATCTCAAAGGCCAGAAACTAATATACCTATCGTTGGGTTCGATGGCCTCAGTAGACATCCAACTCATGAGCCGTTTGGTCGCCATTTTGGCAAAGAGTCCGCACAAATACATTGTCTCGAAGGGAGTTCTCGGCCACCAGTACTCGTTGGCCGACAATATGTGGGGCGAGAAGTCTGTGCCGCAGACCCGAGTGCTGCCGATCGTGGATCTGGTCATAACACACGGCGGCAACAATACTATATACGAAGCGTTCAGTTTTGGCAAACCTATGATAATAATGCCATTATTTGCCGATCAGTTCAATAACGCTCAGAGAGTCCACGAAAAGGGTTTCGGTCTAAGACTCGATCCGTACAACTGTTTCGCCGAAGAACTCCTCAACTCTATCGACAAACTACTGAATGACACGGATTTGAAACACCGGTTATCCGTCGCTTCAAAACGCATACAAAACTCCGATTGTTTTCAAAAGGCGTGTGAATTGATCGAGAATTTAGTCAAATAATGCATTTATTAACTAAAATCATTTTTCAATTCAAATATACAAAACCATTATTATTTTACCTGTTATAATGAACTTATTTTTTTATAAACTTTGTTATCTTATAAAATATTAATTAAAATTGAGACGTCAGTAGATTCTGGTATTCTTGGATCAGAACAATATATTTGGTAGCATTTATTGACACAATCTTAAAGTGTATTTCATAATAAGAGACAATTCGTGTTCACAATTAAATATTTTAGAGATTAATAGGAATTTCATTAGGAAAGTCAAAATCATAAAGTGTTAATTATTTGGTTATTCATAATTATAAAAACAATGTTTGAATTTAAGTATCGCATTACTAATTGATTATTAAAATTCTTATGTTATAATTGAAAAATTAATGTTGGCTTCAAAATTATTTTAAAAATTCATTAAACTATTTGCATTCACTGAACTCACATTATAATATAAATTTTAGCAAATACTGTACTGTATTTTGTTTCTATAGTCACCCCAACGCCTGATAAGTGAATTATCAAACAGTTTAAAGAGAGTATGTTTTACTGTCCTTCATATTCAGTTCATACAATCAGTTGTAACTATTTTAAGATTACATTTAGTAAAGCCATTTATAAGCGATGAACATTTTATAATTACTAAAAAACATAGAAATGACCAAAAAGTTAACGATATTGTTTGCGCCGGTAGTGGGTGTGGGACACGTCAACGCCTGCATAGGTTTGGCTGAAGTACTGCTGAGTCGGGGCCACAGCTAGTCTTCGTTATCGAAAAGTCATTTGCGGGAAAGTTATTGCCGTTTGGTTTCATCGAAGAGGTGTTTGCTTCAGAGGAAGAAAATATGGGAAAACCCGGAGAAAGTGAAGCCAAGAGTTTACTCGAAACGGGTCTCCTCTCAAACGTTACGTCTTATAAATCGGCGGAAATTATGATGACTTTCCCTGTGTTTGAGATGTTGGTCGACAGAATGCGAGCCAATGAACCACAGCTTAAGGCGATTATAGTCAAACATAATCCCGATGTGTATATCATCGACGACTTCGCCGGTTCTCCGACACTAATCCACTCAACCAAACCCTGGGTTTTCCTGTTTAGCGGAAATCCATTGTTTGTTATACACGACGACAGGACTCCTCCCGGGTCTTCGGGTCAGTTGCTTTTATTGTAAAATATGTGAAATATTCAATTAATAATTTATAAATACATATGACTTTAGGTTATTCTTCAAACGGTGATCCAAACGAATGGAAAGAATTCAAAGAATTGTTTAAAAATATGTTTAAAAACCAAAGCATTAAATATAATAAATGGATGAAAGAGGAAGGCTTTCCCATTAATACTGAAAACAAAGCCATTTCAGACTCGCCTTATCTTAATATCTATGGATATCCCGAAGAATTGGATTATTTAGATCTCAGACCACTTCCAGAGAAGTGGTTAAGAGTCGACGCATTCATGAGAAGAGGAGAGAAACAAGAGTTTAAAATTCCCGATAAATTTATTGACAGAGATATAGAGAAAAGTAAATTAATTTATCTCTCAATGGGTTCTATGGGTTCAATAAATGTGGATCTAATGAAGAGATTGGTGTCTATTCTTAGCAAAAGTCAACACAAATTCATTGTCTCGAAAGGACTTTTCGGAGACACATATGAATTGGCGGACAATATGTGGGGCGAGAA